AGGCCACAGCGCACGGCCAGCACCGTCATCCCCCAGCCGCTGTCGGGCGGGGAGCCTGCGACGTAAGAAAGAAGTTTGTAGCGGCCACAAACCCGGTGCTGAGATGCAGCCACCTCTGGGGCGGGACACGGGCTGCCACCACAGGTACCCCGTGGTACGTTTTCCCCCACAGGTATGTTGTGGACTCCAGCGCCCAAACTCGGGGTTCCCAGCCGACCTCCCCCCATCGCATCCAGGCTCCCTCTTCGCTCCCCACCCCAACCCTGGGGTGTCGCCGTTCTGTGCAGCTGGTACCCAGCTGCCCCTCCCCAGAAGTGGCTGCATTGACTGTGACAGGGACACGGGGGCTGAATACGCACCTGAACTGGTGGGGGTGGGGCTGGTGCTCTGCTGGGTCCCATGCGCCCCCGGGTCGCGCTCCAGGCAGTAGTCCCCAGACCAGGGGGGGATCCCCAGGCAGGCGGCAGCTCCACAGACCCTCCCACCGGCTGGAGAAATTCTCTATCGTCACCTTGTTAGACCTCCGGATCCGAAGGGCTGTGGAGTCTGGTGGCGGCTTCCCATTAAGTAGCCACGTGGCGCCCCCTGCTGGGGGTGACGTGGGTCCCTGCGCCCCACAGGGGGTACAGGAGAGGGACACAGACGCTCCCTCCCCGACCGGCTCCTTGGGGACCGCGGCGATGGATGCCCCGGCCGGGCAGCCTGTGGGGGCAGAGCCAAACGTGATGGATCCAGTTAATGACCCGCCCCCTGCTGGCTGCTTCCCGCTTCCCCCTGGGATGGTCTATAGCCCCCCACCAAAATCCTGAACCCCTCCCAGAGCTGGGGAGAGAACCCAGGAGTCCCGGCTCCCTGCCCCCCGGCAGTGCTGTTACCGGGTGTGATGGTGACGGAGATTGGCGTGGTGTTCTGCCTGGGGCTGGCACAGAAGAAGGTCCCCGAGTCGCTCATGTGGAGGGTTTGGACTTCGAGGACGGAGGTTCGGGTTCCCTGACTCGTTAGGAGACGCAGCCGCTTCTGAAATCTCCCCTCCGGAGCATCGTGTGCCCCACCCGCCATCGCTGTGTAGATCGTCTGTATCCCACCGCTCACACCAGCGCAGACCGGGTACCGCGGGATCCACCGCCAGCTCAGGCTTGGCCCCGTCAGGTTGCAGGGGAGACTCACAGTCGAGCCGGCTTCTGCCGTCACCACTGGGCCTGCGAACACCAGAGCGGATGGGTCCTGCCCGACTGGAGAGACAGGGACCCCTTACCCGGTGCTGAGATGCAGCCACCTCTGGGGTGGGGCCCGTATACAGGGATTCCCCTGTGACGCTGAGCCCCTCCTTGCTAACGAGCAAAGGGGTCGCTGTTCGGCACCGGTAACCCCTGACAAAGCCCCCGCACGCAGCCCCTCGCCCTGGCAGTATTTCTCCACAGCGGGGGCGAGGCAGCTAACAACAGCTCCCGGCTTTGGCCCTGCGTCTGTCCCTCAGGAGCGCGCCAGGCTGCAGGCAGGACAAGCCGCCCACGGGCATCACGGCACACGGCCCCCAGCAGCCGGCTCCCGTCGCTTGGGCTGTCTTGTGCTGGGCCCAGCGTGCAGCAGCCCTGACCGTGCCACCGAGGCTCCGGCTACACCCGAATCGCCCGACACCAGAATCCTGGGGATGGAGTGGCCGAGCCAGAGTCAAGCCAGGATCCGGGGCACGTTGCTTTGCAGTGTGGACGCAGCCCCACCGGGCTAGTGACACGCGTGGGCGGGGGAGGGGGAGCGCCAGTCGCCTTCCCACCCCCCTGGCAGGTGCGGCCGGGGTGTCGTTGAGACACCGGAGTCTGGGTGGGGGTTACAAACCAGTGTGGACACCCCAGCCCCGGGCGAATGTAGCCCCCGGCTTCCGCTGCAGCGCGGTCCTGCCCAGAGTGTGGGCCCCGCTTCACGCCCGAGTGTGAACCCGTCCCGGCTCAGCCGCTCCGAGACATGTTACGCCCGGTGGGTCAGGCTGCCCTCCACTCCCTCCCCCGAGCCCCCAGCCCCTCTCCAAGCCAGGCCAGGCCTGGCCGTGCCCTGGGGAGGTGGCCAACCAGCCGGCGGTGTCAGGGAATTAGCACTGGCAAGTCTGGGGGACCCTGAGAAACCTCCCCTGGGGCTGAGATGCAGCCACCTCTGGGGTGAGGCAGCTGGTTATACAGGGACCCCTCCCCCGGTGCAGAGATGCAGCCACCTCTGGGGCGGGGCGGCTGGTTAGACAGGGACCCCCAGGCACTGGGACAAGCCCTGAGCCTCCCGCCCTGTTTGCTGCAGGCCTCCCGGCCGAGCCCATCCCCAGCCTCACTTGGCGAGAGGCCAGGCCCACGGCTGGGTTTGCTCCTTACCTGCCTGAGCCCTCGGGGGCACTGCTGCCAGGAGGGCGAGGGCCAGGGGCAGGAGCTGGGGGCGCATGGTGGAGCTGGTGGAGGTGATCTGGTGAGAAGGGCCTCTGGGGGCATCTGTCTCTGGGGAGGGGCCTTGCTCCCAGCCCCTGAGGGGAAGAGGAAGGAGGTTGTGAAGAAATCAGGAAACCCACAGAGCTCGGGCAGCAGGTAACCCTTTCGCTCCGGCACGTGGGGGGGGGGGGCAGGGGGGGCTGTGCCCAGGCAGTCAGTGCTGGCTGTGTGCCTCAGGAAAGAGGGCAGGGGGAGCCCCGCAGGGGGCACTGGGTTGCAGGGAGCGGGGGGAGGCAGCAGGGGACTCTCCCCTGGCAGTCGGGGCTTGCCCCATTGCCCCAGGGAGCAGGGCAGGGGGAGCCCCGCAGGGGGCACTGGTGTTAAAGGGGCGGGTACCTGCTGGCCTGCCGGGCCCGGGTTTTCCAGTGCAGGTAGCCGACGGCTCTGAGGGTGGCGCTGAGGAACAGCGCACAGCCAGCACCGTCACCCCCCAGCCGCTGCCGGGCGCAGAGCCTGTGACTGGAGACAGAAGCTTGGGCGGCCACGAACGCGGAGCTGAGATGCAGCCACCTCTGGGGCGGGACACGGGGCTGCCAGCACAGGGACTCCTTGGTACGTTTTCCCCCACAGGTATGTTGTGGACTCTAGCGCCCAGGTCTAATCCAAACTCAGAGTTCCCAGCCGACCTCCCCTGTGGCATCCAGGCTCCCCCGTCGCTCCCCACCCCAACCCTGGGGTGTTGCCGTTCTGTGCGGCTGGTACCCAGCTGCCCTGCCCCAGAGGTGGCCGCATTGAGTAGGACAGGGACACGGGGGCTGAATATGCACCTGGACTGGTGGGGGTGGGGCCAGCTGGGGGGGCTCTCCTGGATCCCGTGAGCCCCCAGCTGTGACGTTCTGAGTGTGATATAATATCTCATTGGAAGGTGACAGGGCCAGAAAGAGTTAATTATCTCCCAGTCTGACCTGACCCAGGCCCGAACTTTAGAGACTGGTTAGGAAGATCTGTAAATGAATAGAGCTTTGAAATGCAGCCGGCATTGTTAGAGATCTCAAGGGGAGATGTTTGCTCAGGGCTTGGGATGTCAGCAAACAAGTCTTGTCTATTGCTAGAGTTTAAATTCAAAGATCAAAAAGGAAGATTAACATTTATGATAATACTTGAGTGAAGTAGTATTATTGTCTCTATGTCTCTTTCAAGGTTGGGGTAACCTGGATCTGAACTGTTTAATGGATAAATTACCCTGTGCTAATTGCCAGGATGTTTAAAAGAAGGAAAGTTAAGTCTATTGTTTTCTCAGGCCAAGCAGCTGCTGGAAATGTATAAAAACCCTGGGACACGATCCTGCTTCATCTCAGATCTGCTTTGGGTTTCAAGAGGGGGAAACTTGGAGCCACAAGGATTGAGATCCCCAGTCACTGACTAGAGTCACCCTGAATATGGACATTGAACTATAACCTCTGGACTGTTTCTAAAAGGACTTTTGGCAACTACAAACTCATCTCTGCTGTGTCTGAACCTCAAGAATTGAATTCAAGTCTGTCTGTATATTGATTTTTTAACCAACACTCTCTCGCTTTTCTTTTGTAATAAATTTTAGTTTAGTTAATAAGAATTGACTATAACGTGTATTTTGGGTAAGATCTAAGTTATCATTGGACCTGGGTGTGTGGCTGATCCTTTGGGATTGGAAGAACCTTTTCTTGTATATGATGAGAGAAGATTTTCAGTAATCATCATCATATCTGATGTGTGTGTCTGGCCGGAGGCCTGAGGCCGGGCACTTTAAGGGAACTGCGTTGTTTGGACGTCTGAGTAACCAGGGAGGTTCTATAGAAGCTGTTTTGGGCTGGTTGGCAAATCTAAGTATTGGAATAACACCAGCCTTGGGATTTCTCTGCCCCGTTCTGTTTGCAGTTCACCCTGGTTGAGTGACCTCAGCTGGCTCCCATGGGCAGCACTGTCACAGCAGGTCGCGCTCCAGGCAGTAGCCCCCAGACCGGGGGGGATCCCCAGGCAGGCGGCAGCTCCACAGACCCTCCAACGAGCTGGAGAAACCCTCTATCGTCACTGTTTTGGACCTCAGGATCCGAGGGGCTGTGGAGTCTGGTGGTGGTTCCCCATTGAGCTGCCACGTGGCGCCCTCTGCTGGGGGTGACGTGGGTCCCTGCGCCCCACAGGGGGTACAGGAGAGGGACACAGACACTCCCTCCGCGACCGTCTCCTTGGGGACCGCGGCGATGGACACCCCGGCCGGGCAGCCTGTGGGGGCAGAGCCAAACATGATGGATCCAGTTAACAGCCCGTCCCCTGCTGGCTGCTTGTAATTCCCCCCTGTGCTAGACTATACCCCCCCATCAAAATCCTCCCCTGCTGGCTCTGTGTGTGTGTCTGTGTCCCCGCCTGCTCTGTGTGTGTCTGCTGTGTAATTGTACGTTTGTGTAATTGTGTGTCCCTGTCTGCTCTATGTGTGTGTGCGACTGCTGTGTAAGTGTGTGTGTGCGCAATGGTGTGTGTCCCTGGTTGCTCAGCATGTGTCTCTCTGCTGGATCTGTGTGTGTGTGTGTGTAAATGTGTCTAATTGTGTGTGTATCTGCCAGCTGTGTGTGTGTGTGTAATTGTGTGTCCGCATGTGTGTGTAACTAGACATATACAATGACTAAATGAGCTGTTCCCACGCAAGAAAGATCCTGGAGTCACTGTGGAGAGTTCTCTGAACTCATCCACTCAATGCGCAGCGGGGTCAAAGAAGCAGAACAGCATGTTGGGAATCATCAAGAAGGGGAGAGAGACTAGGACAGAAAATATCATGTTGCCGCTATATAAACCCGTGGGACGCCCACACCTTGTACACTGCGTGCAGATGTGGTCGCCCCGTCTCAAAAAGATCGATTGGACTTGGAAAAGGTTCCGAAAAGGGCAACAAAAGTGCTGAGGGGGTGTGGAACGGCTGCCGTATGAGAAGAGATTAATAAGATGGGAACTTTTCAGCTTGGAAAAGAGGCAACTAAGGTGGGATATGATCGAGGTCTATAAAATCATGACTGGTGTGGAGAAAGTGAATAAGGAAGTGTTATTTACTCCTTCTCGTAACACAAGAACAAGGGGTCACCCAATGAAATGACTAGGCAGCAGGTTTAACACAAAACATAGGAAGTATTTCTTCACACAGTGAACAGTCAACCTGGGGAACTCCTAGCCAGAGGATGTTGTGAAGGCCAAGACTGTAATAGGGTTAAAAAAAGAGCTAGATAAGGTCATGGTGGACAGGTCCATCAATGGCTAGTAGCCAGGCTGGGCAGGGATGGTGGCCCTGGCCTCTGTTTGCCAGAAGCTGGGAATGGGCAACAGGGGATGGATCACTTGATGATTATCTGTTGTGTTCATTCTCTCTGGGGCCCCTGGCATTGGCCACTGTGGGAAGCCAGGATACTGGGCTGGATGGACCTTTGGCCTGACCCAATATGGCCATTCTTGTGTGTCCCTGCTGGCTGTGTGTGTGTGTGTGTGTGTGTGTGTGTGATTGTGTGTGGGTCCCTGCCAGCTGTGTAATTGTGTGTATGTGTGTCGGGTGCATTCCTCACACACAGCCCCACAGTGAATGGATCAGTGTGGGGGAGGGATAAACAAACAGCACTGGCCCCATAACAGAGCCTTGGGGCAGTGGGGCAGGGGAGACACCCCCTGCTGCCCCCAGCCCAGCACTGGAGCGAAAGGGTTACCTGCTGCCCGAGCTCTGTGGGTTTCCTGATTTCTTCACAACCTCCTTCCTCTTCCCCTCCGCGCCTGGGAGCAAGGCCCCTCCCCAGAGACAGATGTCCCCAGAGGCCCCTCTCACCGGATCACCCCCACCTCAGCTCCACCATGCACCCCCAGCTCCTGCCCCTGGCCCTCGCCCTCCTGGCAGCAGTGCCCCCAGGGGCTCAGGCAGGTAAGGAGCAAACCGGGCCGTGGTGGGGCCGGGGATGGGCTCGGCCTGGAGGCCTGCAGCGAATGGGGCGGGAGGCTCAGGGCTTGTCCCAGTGCCTAGGGGTCCCTGTATAACGAGCCGCCCTGCCCCAGAGGTGGCTGCATCTCAGCCCCGCGGGAGGTTTCTCAGGGTTCCCCAGACTTGCCAGTGCTAATTCCCTGACACCACCGGCGGTTCGGCCACCTCCCCGGGGCACCGCCAGTCCCAGCCCGGCTTGCCGGGGGGCCGGGGGGGGGGCGGGGAGGGGCTCGGCCCGGAGGGCGGCAGCCGACGGG